CTAATTGGCATCACAAGCCAAACCCTCAATAGGGTGCCGCACAACCAACACAAGATGAGGATCACACAAGCCACGAGCAATCCACTAGAGTACCTTTTGGCTCTCTACCGGGGAAAGGTCAAGAGCCCCTCACAATCACCACGATCAAAGCCAGAGACAATCACCACCCTCCGCTCGACGATCCTCGCTGCTCCAAGCCATCTAGGTGGCGGCAACCACCAAGAGTAACAAGCGAATCTCGCAGCGAAACACGAACACTCAAGCAATGCACTTGGATTCTCTCCCAATCTCACAAAGATGTTTAATCTATGATGGAAATGAATGGGAGGGCTTTGGCTAAGCTCACAAGGTTGCTATGTCAATGTAAATGGCCAAGTGAGTGAGCTTGAGCCGGCCATGGGGCTTAAATAGAAGCCCCCATAAAATAGAGCCGTTGTACCCCTTCACTAGGCACAGCGCGTGGTGACCGGACGCTCCGGTCCGATCGACCGGACGCTGGCCCTCAGCGTCCGGTCACGTGATTCACGCCACGTGTCCCCTGCTACAAATATTGTTCGTCAGATTTCAACGGTCGTCTGTTGACCGGACGCGTCAGTTAGAAAGTGACCAGACGCTGGACATCAGCGTCCGGTCGTTTCCAGTAAGGTTCCAAACGTGTCTGGTCACACAACGTCTCCTCTGTACGCCATACGTCAACATATGTCAGCACTGACCGGATGCACCCCGCCAGCGTCCGGTCGCTGAGCGACCCAGTGTCCGGTCGTTTGACCGACGCCAGCGTCTTCGCTGTTACACCTGACTGGACGCGCTGGTCCAACCGAGGCCAGCGTCCGGTCACTTCCAGTGACCTCTGTCTTTTCTATCTAGGGCGCCGGTGCAGTTTCTTACCCTTGCATCTAAACTTCACCACCCTTGATCAAATGTGCCAACCACCAAGTGTATCACCTTGTGCACATGTGTTAGCATATTTTCACAAACGTTTTCAAGGGTGTTAGCATTCCACTAGATTCTAAATGCATATGCAATGAGTTAGAGCATCTAGTGGCACTTTGATAACCGCATTCCGATACGAGTTTCACCCCTCTTAATAGTACGGCTATCAAACCTAAATGTGATCACACTCTCTAAGTGTCTTGATCATCAAAACAAAATAGCTCCTACTATTTATACCTTTGCCTTGAGCCTTTTATTTTTCTCTTTCTTCTTTTTAAGTCCAAGCACTTGATCATCACCATGGCATCATCTTCATCATGCTATGATCTTCATTTGCTTCAACATTTGGAGTGTGCTACCTATATCATGATCACTTAATAAACTAGGTTAGCACTTAAGGTTTCATCAATTCACCAAAACCAAACTAGAGCTTTCATCTTTGGCCACAAGCCTCGCTTTATATTTATCAATCATGCCATCTGGCCTCATCTTTTTCTTGAAAATCCACTAACATCCAATAGGTTTGCACCCAACAGGACATTCAGTGATTTCCCAAGTCTCATTTGCCATGATGGAGTTCATCTCGCTACGGACTGCCTCTTTCCAATACTTAGCATCTGTAGACGCATAAGCTTCGGCCAGAGTCGTAGGCATGTCATCCACAAGGTATACAATAAAGTCATCTCTAAAAGATTTCTGAACCTTTTGTCTCTTACTCCTGCGCGGAGTGATGACTAAATTGTTATCCTCCTCATTATTCTCTCGCAGAGGTATGTTCTCAACTTGTTCAGAGTTAGGAATGGTTGCATCTAGATTTTCTAAAGTACTGCTACTCGGTCTCATAGGAAAGATATCCTCAAAGAAAGTAACATCCTTAGACTCCATTATTATATTTACTATAATCTCTAGAGTATCGGATTTAACTACCAAGAATCTATAGGCAGGACTATTCTGAGCGTATCCTATAAAAATGCAATCGACTGTTTTCGGCCCAAGTTTTCTTTTCTTCGGCTTTGGAATGTTGACTTTCGCCAAACATCCCCACGTTCGCAGAAAGTTGACATTGGGTTTTCTGCCCCTCCATGCCTCGTATGGAGTTATGTCACTTCTCTTGGTGATAACTCTATTGAGCACGAAATTTACATTCAAGATTGCTTCCCCCGCCACATCTTAGGCATACCGGCACTCTCTAATAAGGCATTCACCAAATCTGTAAGTGACCGGTTTTTTCTCTCAGCAACACCATTTGATTGTGGTGAATAGGGTGGTGTAAATTCATGAATAATCCCATGGTTAGAACAGAAATTAGAAAAATCATTAGAGATATACTCTCCTCCCCGATCATCTCTTAATCTTCTTTTCTAACTGGTTCTCAACCTCTGACTTATATATTCTAAAATAGTTCAGCGCTTCATCCTTAGACTTCAGCAAGTAAACATAACAATAATGTGTTGCATCATCAATAAAAGTAAGAAAATACTTTTTCCTCCTTTAGTCAAAACACCATTCATCTCACATAAATCAGAATGGATCAAATCTAGTGGTGCCAGATTCTTCTCAAACTCTAATGCCTTAAAAGGTTTTCGAGGTTGTTTTGCTTGCACACAAGTTTGGTACTTAGAATTCTTGACTATATCACATTTAGGAATTAACTCAGATCTGGACATTCTAGCAATTGTATCAAAACCAACATGACAGAACTTCGAATGCCATACATCAGCAGAATTTTTATTCAAAGCAGTAGTAATATTCAAACTATAACAAGAATCCATAGTACTTAGGCGGAACAAGACTCCGCTGTCATAGCCTTTTTCTATAAAAGCCCCAAATTTAGACACTACAACTTTATTCGACTCGAATACTAGCTTATAACCACTCCTACATAGGAGAGACCCACTCAGCAGGTTCTTGTTTATCGCAGGTGCGTGGTGGACATTCTTCAATTGGATGGTTTTCCTGAAGTGAGCTTCAGATCTACCGTACCAACACCAAGAACAGAAGCACGCGTTCGTTTCCCATTAGGACGTTGGAAGCCCTTGCTGCTTGATACGAAGAAAACAAAGAAGCATCAGAACACACGTGAACATTTGCACCAGTATCAACTCACTAGTCGATAGACTGAAATGCAGAATAAACAACATGAGATTTACCGTACCCTCCTGAAGTCGAGGCCTCGCCAATGGTCACATTAGTGAACTTTTTGCTCAGTTCAGTAGTCCTGTTCTTGCGGTCAGGACAATCCTTGGCAAAGTGACCAGGATTACTGCACACAAAACAGGTGAGATTCTTTAGATCCTTCTTATCTGTTTTCTTCTTTTTAAAGCTAGTAACCTTATTCGCCTTGGGACCCTTCTTCTTGTTAAATTGTTTCTTGTTTTGAACAAAATTGGCACTGTTCTGCACGTTCTTCGCCTGCACATCTTTTGCCCTTGCCTTCTCTTCCACATCAAGAGCTGCAATGAGATCTTCAATAGAAATCTCTTCTCTTTTGTGCTTTAGAGATGTAGCAAAATCACGCCACTCTGTAGGAAGTTTAGCAACAATCGCTGCTGCAACAAACTTTGGAGGTAAAGCACATCCTAAATGTGCAATCTCGCCAACCAGAAGCTAGAGGTCGTGTGCTTGAGTTACAATTGATTTAGCACTGTCCATGCTGAAATCAAAGAACTTTTCGCACACATACAGCCAGCGACCGGCTTCGGCTTCTGCATATTTTTTCTCCAAATCCTCCCACGGCATGGTGGCCGATGAGTAATTCATATACACATCATAGAGTTGATCCGCCAAGATGGTGAGGATGCAGCCCAATACGGTGTGATTCGCATTCTCAAACTGCATGGTCTGTTCCTCTGTGATGGGAAACACGGGGTATATCACCCACCACAACCCCAAAGACATGAGCCAAAACTTAGCCCTTGTCTGCCATCTGCGGAAGTTCTCACCTCCAAACCTCTCAGATTTCATGACATCAGATGCATTTGCCATTGCTAGATCACAGAAATAGGCACAACCAGGTTTTTAGAATGTTGGAAATATGTGCCTAAAATAAAATCTGGAATTCAACATCTGCATCATACAAGCCACAGCTGCAGGCTTCCTCTAGTTTACTCCAATATAGGAGCACTATAGAAAAAGAGAAATGCAGAACATCAGTCCGACATACAAAATAAAACTTTACTGTAGCAACATCTGTTCAAGTAGCTCGGCTGGTTAGGTTTCTTATGGTGGAACCTGCTCTCCGGGTTCAAGTCTTCAACTTCAGTTCTTCGGAGGTGCTCATAGGAATAGGGTGCGCGTGCGTGCGTCGTAAGGGTGAGTGTGCGTTCGTGTATGTGAGTGTCAGCTTCTGTAACTGGGTCTCGTAAAAAAAACATCTGTTCAATTTTATTGTACAAACAATGCATCCATACCAGGTACTTGTGCTGCTTGCAGGCATTTGAACACCAGAAGCCAAGAAGGTGAGATCAAATGTTCTGCGAGACAATAACCTCCCGTCCTCTTTTGCGTAGAAATTCTACGACTCATTGTTTAAGCAATAATTGGAGGAACAGCCAAACTACCAAGTAGCACATCCAAGTATCCAACGACTGGATGTCCTAATCTACCGATTAGTATTCACATTTCTCATGATGATACTATGTGAGATTTTTCAGCTTATTAGACTCTTCCAAAAAAAAAAACCCAGCTTAGAAGCTTTGTCTCAACTGACAAAGGGAACTAGGCCAAAGCAGTCCAAAATATGCAAATTCATTGACTAGACTGGGTAAGATCATGAAATGGATTTGTTCTAACGGAAAAGATACGATGCTGCAGCATATCAGGCTAAGATAAGATGGCTTCTTTTTAACACGTGTTGAGTGACCGACAATACTCTGGCTGGTCTTGGTTGATCCCAAGCGGCATGGTTGTGTAAAGTTCAGAACGATCTTGAAGTCAAACAACAGCACCATATTCATGTAGAAGCATACAAAGGAGAGCACCATGTTCATGTACTCGTAATTACATATATGCTGTATGCTAGTAAGAGATGTGCAAACTCTATTATGTACATGATGGAAGGTAGTCGTTCAAGAATACAGCTTATGGGTGTAGGTAGAGCTACAAAGGAAAAAACACAGCAACACAGGAAGTAGAAACACACAAGCTTGTCCAAACTACAACTATACATCTCATCTAGCATCCATACACGAGTAACATGAACCTTTGCAGGGGCTCAAGGAAAACTGACGGTCCCTGTTCCCAGCTCCCCATACACTGATACACAGTAGAATAGTAGACCAGCCTAGCTAGTACCTTCTGGGCTTAGATGGCCGTGAAGCTCCTGCCTTCCTGAAAATTCCACAGAAGATGCAGCCAGGAACCTTGGGCGAAGGCGGGTCCAGAGCTGGGGCTACACGCCGAGTACGGAAGCCCTGGCTGCTGCTCTCGTCGTTGCGCCTGCGCTGCAGCTGCAGCCCAACGGAGCCAACGCTACGGGAGTGCCTCAGCTCCTTGGACTCCATGGCTGCGTCCTCTGGCTCCCTCTGGTTGCCGCCGTGTGACATGAGCCTCTCGTCCCAGACCAAGCCTGATGAGCCGGACCTCCTGAATGTCTGTGAAGATCTCTGCAGCCCTGCCATGCTCCTCCCTTCTCCCTCCGCGGTTTGTGAACAGAGAGTTTTTGTATGGTGTGGCGTGCAATGAGGACTTGAGTGAGGGATGAAGAGAATGATTTGGACCTAGCTAAATAAGAGACGTATCCACATCCACGGATTGGTGAAAAATCGGCAAATTGCCGAGATAAGGGGTCCGATGATGGCGACGGCCAAATATGTAAGTGAGGTCCGTCTGCACTCTGCAATGAGTTAAACTAAGACAAACCTTCCGTGGATATGGCCTAATCTATGGTTGCGCTACCCCCGACTTGTGTTCTAACCTATCTAAGCGCTGACGAAAGACGAGCCCAATGTGTCAACCACGGCAACTACTGCTATGGCCCGTAATCAGGCAATAATGCTATTCTCAATTCGCCGTCCGTGGCAGTTAGCGTCACTGCAGCAAATTCACGTTACCAGCTCTGAACACTGACACAGTGGACCTCTCCGATAGACCATGACAACAAGAAGTGAGGTCCAGGTAAGGCCAGGACGCTTACGGTCACTGAAAGAACCGTGTGGTAAGCAGTTCATGCGAACGGCAACAGAACAAAGCCTCCCTATCCAAGTTCCTCCCGGCTCCCACGATTACGACATCCACCAACGGCAACGTCCTAGATGCCACGGCACATTCGGAGAAGCAGCGCAGACCGCAGAACTCGAGCGCGACCACACGCAGCATCCAAGCACCTTACTACTACTGAAGTGCTAATGATTGCCACAAATGGCTGGGTTCCATCTTAACAACATACTAGAATTCACTGCAACTGACGACTAGAACTCGATAGCTTTATCTCAAGTGCCAACATACTAGATTTTCCGTAAACATCGCAGCGTGGCATCTGCAAATCACTGCAGCCATCAGCTCCACCATACTCGAACCTAGAACTAGAATTCTCAGATGAACATTATTACATAATAAGGAAACAAGTCAAAACTGTTTCCAGTTCAGAGCCAGACGCTGCAACAATAACAAAAAGTTCAGGTGTGTTTTATTGACTGCCGGGCAGCAAGTATGTGTATGTCAGCAGAATCTACTGTCTTCTCAGAATTTGTATACCATCTCTGCCGTGTATCCTAAGTCTTTCAGAATGCCAGAGAGCTGCACAACATGTATAAACCAAAATTGGATTAACGAAACAGTAACATGGTTACAGAAAGAAGGGCAACGCAAGCTCTAGTGGATAGTGTAAATCTAGTGTGTTATCCTAGTTATGATATAAGCTTCCTTAGTAGGTGTGCCGCCCATACTATACAAACATAAAAAAAATATCCAAGTGTTCACATTTCAAGTATATCAGTATGTTTTTCAGTTGTCCTACCGCAGGCTTTCTTCAAGCATGTCAGATTACAATGCTCATAAACTACAACCAGCAATAAACAACAACAACAACAACAAAGCTTGTCAGTCCCAAACAAGTTGGGGTAGGCTAAAGTTGAAACCCACCAAGAGCCCCTAGTCACGGTTCAGGCACATCAAACAACCAGCAATAAAAATAAACAAAAAAAATCCACAATACCTCGCCCTGCGTTCTATCCTTGGCCTTGTCTCCAGATATGTGATTCATCATTCCTGGCGGACCACAAACCTGAATAAACAAAAAAAACATGAAACAGATGCTATTAACAATCCAAGAAATGAAGATGATGTTGGAGATCATAAGCAACCTTAAGAGCATCTCCAAGAGTTCCCCTATCCAACCTTTAAGGGTCAAAGTTAAGGTTTATGCAACAAAAATCACCCTCCAACAGCCCCCCTATCCAACATCCTATATTTAGTGGTATCCTAAGTCACCCTCTCTCTCCCTCAAATACGGGGTCACATGTTATCCACCCTATATGTTATTTGAGATAGAGAATCTGTTGGAGGAAAATTTAGGGAGGGATTTTTTGTTAGGATGCACCTATATGGTGACATAGGGGAATTAAGTTTACATAAACAAAATTAATCAAAATGACTTTGTTAAAAACATAAATATTCAGAAGAAGAAACTCCTCAGCAGATATGTCATGAATTCATGAAGTACTCACAAGAATCAGAGACTCCTCAGCAGGGCCTGGCAAACCTTTCAAAACCATGTCCTTTGATACAAAACCAACACCACCCCTCCAGTCAGTTGACTGTTTATCAACTGTATAAAATACCTATAATTTTTCAAGGACAACGTTACACATACAGAAGAAAATTATCCATGCCCTGATGGACTACTCACTGCAATACCAACCTTGAAGTTAGGATAGCTACTGGCAAGTCTATCCAGTTCTCTTTTGAGCAAGATATCATCTGGTGACACGTTGGCATAAATTAAGGAGACCTAGATATGAATAAACAGAATAAGAACATAAGTTAGAATACATATGGATAGAATATAGTCCAGCCTTAAAACTGATGTTGTTGCTTGAGAAGATTGCGTGAAAATAAAGACATCAATCTGCTCTGGTTTCTGGCAGAATGACTACTGAGGCATGTGGCTATGTGAACATTGAAACAATGCTTTCTCAGAAAGACGCTAAAGCGTAGCTAAAATGCATGAAAAGAACCAATTTTGAAGAAACTTCAGAGTTTGTGGCGCTAGCTTACTTGAGTGTTGTCATCAGGGTTTTTGAGGATAGCCCTGACAACCTGCAGCATTGGTGTTATACCAGTACCACCAGCAATCTGGAATCAAAGGCATGCACATTATTCAACGGCTATAGTATGGTTACAGGGTTACTCTCTAATCAAGTAAAACAAACCTATGAGCTAAAAAGAATTGAAACAAATACATGAATAAATTATCCATCGTTACCCTTGCGGGGATGAATTCAAAAGGTCAAGAACTAGGTCAAAGTTGAGGCTTATCTTACCATCCCAATTTGTTTTTTCATGTTTGGGCTGTATCTGAGCTTTTCAATGGGCCTAGCAAAATCATAAAAAGCTTGAGTGACAAAAGGCAGCAGCGTACATAAAAACCTATACAATTTTCATGTCATAATACCCTTTGACTTCCAGAACATCTCCTGGCTTCAAACTTGCAAAATACTGACTCATTTTCCCATCAGGATAAACCTGTACAGAGTACAATTAGCAAAAAGAAAAGAAAAAAAACACAAATTATGCACACGAACAGAAATCAAATGGCAGACCATTATTCTATTAGTCCTGATTCCATTTCCATGACCAACTTAAATTGGAACTCTAATGATTTATGACAATTACAAGTTCTGGAATTTATAGAGTGACTTTTTAACATACCTTGATCAATAGGTCAAAATATCCTTTAGAATCTGGATCAGAGATAGGTGTGTACCTGAAGGAAACATGATATGATCAGAGAAAATTACAAGTATTGCTATACTGGAGATCAGCTTCCATTTATGCTTCTTTCTTATTTGTGCTAATGCTTTTACATCAAATAATTAAGTTCCAAGAGGGCGCTCAGGTAGATGGCACTTTACACTATGCATTTGATTCATTTAGCATAGAACTTACGGTCGAATCACAAATTTTCTTCTTCCCTCGACTTCCTCGCCGATAGGTGCCCTGCAATGAATTCATCTCAGGTAGTCAACACACAGGATAGGAAGCATACCGACTGCTAAAATGTGTGCAAATGGTCTACAAACCAATCCAGCCTCTACTCACTAGATAAGAGTCATAAGACTACCAAATTGCTAAAAGGATTCAGTGAACATGAACAGATAGCAGAGAACATCAGCCTTTTGATTGGAGAAACAGAAATGGCCATTTTGCTTTGCACAACTGTTATTCGTAAGAACACTGGCTTCAAATAGGATAATAGGAAGCATGCATGTATATAGAATTTGGAAGAAGAACTGAAGAAGAAATATATATAAGCACAATTTATTCAAATTCGACACAAAAAGATCCTCCCAGTAAAGACATGACACCTTGCATTGACAGCGATAAGGGCTTCCCCTAAAAAAGACACGACACCTTGCAGTTGAAGAATATACCTTGTGATGAGGCACGAGGCAACATCAAGTCCCAGCTTAGTTGATGGATCAAATGAAAACCTACAAGACAAAATTACTTGCATAAGCCTCACACTGAAGCAAATAAACTCTATAAAACTTAAATAAAGGAGAAGCCGCTAGCATGGTACATACGAGAATCATGATGAAAACAAAATTAAGCACTTATACAGTGTACCACACAAGATTAAGATAACCCACATAGTAAAAGCATAGCCACATATTCTGTCAAACAACAAGATAAAGAAGTATTCCTGGAGTCATGAAATTAAGGAAGGATTTCTTCAATAGTTACCTGAATAACTGTGAGTTGTGGCTAACTGTTGCCTTATCTTGGAGCTTGAACTCTAACCACTTATCAGGGTTAAGTGCTGAAAAACAAGACAATGTTCCATCAAGAAACAAGTAAACAACACAAACGACAATATAATGTAAGCATACGAAGGAACAGTTCACCAGTATGCTGAGACTATCTAAATTTTGTAACCTTAGAGGTGGTTTATAAATGATAAAAGTAGGAAAAAAGCAGAGATTAACTATATCATGTAAACTTATTCATTGTGATATGTAACATGAAAGAACAGCACCCCTTAAAACGATATGTAGGGTGCAACAATTTCACTATACAGCAACATGAATACTAAAATGCTTGAACTCTTCAACTAATGTAAACTCTACGATTTGGGTTGCCTCCAGCAACACATGTGACCGTGGACCATCATTCATAACAGCAATCATCACACTCGAATAGCGAAATTCCTCTAAATGATATGTTCCATATTCCAAACAATGTGGAAGTGGAATCCAGCCGCAAACAGCATTTTCAGCTCAGAAAACCACGCAACAAACGAAAAAAGGTTTCATAGGCAGATACACATAAATATGATCAATCCCCACATCGACGAAACCTAGATCGGGTTAAATTCGGAGAGAAAGGGGGGCTGCAGCTCACCAACTTTCTCAGCGGCTTCGCCCTTCTCCTCCAGGTGCGCCTGCAATCATCGGGCACC